TCAGTTCTGTAACGTGTGGCAAAAAAGTTTGTCGTTGACAGTTCTATGGATTTAAGTGTTAGATTTTTTATTGTGCTCATAGTCTAAATTTACGAGTCAAAAAATTACCATTGAAAGTCTTTAAAAACAATTTTCACTCTATTTACTTAGAAAAATAATTTTCAATTATGAACGCGACATAACATTTTTAAAAAGTGTATCGACGTTTATAAAATTTCTAAAATTGTGTCGGAAATGTATTGACTGCACAGTTACTTCCCTTTAATAAAAAAAATTCTTAAGAAGAAAGAATTTACATTTTATTACTTTGTTTTTCGTGTTAAGAAAAAAAAAATAATTACATAATTAGCGGGGATTGATTAAGTGCAATGTCGTTAGGTATTTTTAACACTGCCTTTTATTTATTCTATACACTGAACATACTGTTCAATAATTTTTTTTTTTTTAAATCAATAACATTTAATACGCCAGGTCCTACAAATCCTATATGTTTATTTCTTTCCATTTACGGATAAGCTTGGAGTATTATCATTTTTGTTCACTAAATTGAAACAGGCGCGTCCGCCGGCGCTCTTGCACGGTTCGATTTGGCACCCTGGGCTATCATGTGAGCGCTATGCTGCATAATTTTGTTTTTAACAGTGCGATAGACAATGGTCTTTAAGTGAATCAAATCCGGGCGTCCTCCGGCACCCCGACAGGGTGCTATTTGGCGCCCCGGGCCTTCCGGTGTACGCTATTGTATCTACGTTCGCGTGAGTTCCAAAGACTATGAATAAGTTATGTACTATAGTCGTTTACTAAGTTCAATCAGGCGGTGACGTCATGGTGCGTCCTCTGGCGCCCAGACAGGGTGCTATTTGGGGTCCCGGGCCTCCCGTGTTCAGTTTCTCGCCTACGTTCATTAAAGTGAGTGCAAAAGACTATGAATAAGTTGGGGTACTATAGTCGTTTATTAAGCTGAAACAGGCGATTCCGCCCCGGGCTAGACTCTGAGCACTGTGCGTTTATGTTCGCGTTAGTGTTTTCTTTGTGTTTAGGTTGGGTTTGCGTTAGTGGTTGCGTTTTGATTTGGTTCGTCTTTGTTCTTTCTTTTTTCGTTTTCGTTTGTGTTTTATTTTCTTTGCGTTTGTGTTGTATTTGTGTTTGTGGTTGGTTTTGCGTTTGTATTTGGTTTGTTTTCGTTTGTTTTTTCGTTTGTGTTTTTTTCTTTGGGTTTGTGGTTGGTTTTGCATTTGGATTTGGTTTGTTTTCGTTGCTTTTTCGTTTGTTTTTTTCTTTGTGTTCGTATTGGTGTTTGTGGTTGTGGTTGGGTTAGTTGTTAGGTTTTTGTTTTCGTTTGTATTTGTAATTGTGTTAGTGTTACGTTTGCGTTTTGTTGTTTTGGTTTTGGTTTGGGTGTGCAATGCCGGGTTTATGATGATTACTAAACACACAGGTAATGGTCTTTAACAGAAAGGTTTTTCACAGAAGCCAGAGCAGGGCCTGGCCGGGACGGCTAGTACTTTATAAATTTACATTCGTTTTTTTTAGAAATAGGAAATAGCATAAATTAGTACTTCTGGTCAACAGAAATTACTCAAACTTTGACAGAAGGTAGAGGAGTAGATCTTTTACTTACATGTGCAATTTCATTTATCTATCCTAAATAGTACTCAAGTTATTGGCTTTTGAAAAATTCAAAGTAGAAAAAGTACCACTTCCGGTTATCGGAAATCACTCAAAAGTTGATACGGATCTACGATTTTGATAAAAAACTTATATATGAATTTTCATCAACCTAGCTGTAACGGTACTCAAGTTATCTTGTTTACACAAAGACAGACACACACACAGACAGACAGACACACAAACATACGGACAAGATTGCAAAATTATGTTTTTCCGTATCAGTGAGGTGTGAAACGTCGAGGTTTGTAAAGATCTCGATTTTTTTTTTGCACGATTACAAGGCTTTCTCTATACTTCGTATATACCTGAAAGTAAAAAAATGAAGAAAACATTTGGATAAAAAAAAACTCATTCAAAATTGATGTGAAGAGGTTTTCAAATAATTGTGAAAGTTATCTGTTTTAGTTGTTGATATGGAGTGTGCTGGTGTAAGTGTACGAGGCTCTCTTACACTTTCTTACAATTTTTTTCTACTTTTTATTTTATTTATGTTAATGTTACGCTTTGCACTTTTCTGCTGTTATGGTATAAAACCCATATTTTATTTTTGTAGATTTTAATAGTATCGTATGGGGTAGTTGCCCACCCGGAGAATGAAAGGATGTAACAAGCTGTTTTCTCTTTAATGGTTGAACTCTGGAATATGTTTGCTGTTTTTCATAAAAAACGTTTTAATAACAAGCTTTTATGTAGTAATGCACTAAAAAGTAGAAAATAAATTATACACTACTAATTTAATAACTAAAAAGTAAAGCGTGGGTCACTTTAGTACCTATTGTATACCTTTACTAATGTTTAGGAAGTGACCCACACTTTTCTTTATAGTTATTTAAATAGTAGTGTATAATTTATTTTCTACTTTTTGTGCATTACTACATAAAAGCTTGTTATTAAAACGTTTTTTATGAATTTTTTTTTTAGTACTTTTCATGTTTTTATTTACAATTTGGTCGAAACTTAAATTAACGCCAAAAAATTTAATTAAGCATCCAATTAAGTCAAATTTAATGTCATGATGCATTGTCTTCATGTCTTGACCCTGGTTCCAACTACAAACCGTATCTGTCAGAGGAAGTGAGTTAAATAAAAGCTTGTAAAAAAATCTGCTTTAACATTTACATTTAAACGTGGCTATTAGTGGCTTGAGAAAAGCCTAGCCGACAACTGCTATGTAATATATGTCAAGAAAATCATTTATTTTCTCCTTTTTAGTGACATTTTACTCAACAGCATGCTATTAAATCATTATTTATAAAAAAAAATTCAATACTTACAAATTTTTAATACCATAGAGTTACAATTTTGCACTAAATGAACACGGACAATTTGCATATAATTTTGCAGTAAATAGTAGTCTACTTTATATAAGTAGTTTTAATAATTCCAATAAAAATTAAATTAAGCATCCAAATAAGTCAGATTGATGTCAGATTGCATAGTCATTGGGTCTTGACCCACCTATCATGTTTCAGAGAAATTGGTCAATTAGAAGGTTGACAGTTTCAATACATGACTACAAACAAAAGATAAAACAATGACAGAAAATTAAATGAAAGCTTGTTAAAAAATTTATATAATCCTAGAATCTAATGGAACAAATGAACATTTAAAAAAAAAACACGTTATAATCCTAAAATCGAATTGAACATTGAAGTATCAAAATGAGTTGTTTAACCTATGATACAATTGAACATTAGTGTGACAAATTTCTTGTATTCATTTAATGATGTGGTACTTATGCTGTTGGTCCATTAATCTTTTGCCTATTTTATTGTCACTTTTTGATTTTGCTTGTTTTTCTTCAATTTAACTTATTAAAGTTTGTTTTTTTTTTTACATTTTAAATGTGACAATTTATTAGTAAATCAAAAGTAGAAAATACATTTTTTTAAAATATCTTACAAATATGGTACATAGATCAACTTTTTAAAAAGAATTCTAAAATGAATCTGCAATGCAAATATGTGTAGGGACTCTAATTCAGTTTGAATAGATTTAATAACAAATGTTTTATTTGGAGATAAAGAATGGTTTTTTATTTTTTTGACTATAAATTTTAACTATGCTTTTCCAGAGTATGTTTAATTCTAGTCAGAAATTTGTGACAAATGGCAAAATGTTGCACTCTAAGCGAAGACTGTTGTTTTTGTGACAAATGGCAAAATGTTGAACTCTAAGCGAAGACTGTTGTTTTTGTGACAAATGGCAAAATGTTGCACTCTAAGCGAAGACTGTTGTTTTTGTGACAAATGGCAAAATGTTGCACTCTAAGCGAAGACTGTTGTTTTTGTGACAAATGGCAAAATGTTGCACTCTAAGCGAAGACTGTTGTTTTTGTGACAAATGGCAAAATGTTGCACTCTAAGCGAAGACTGTTGTTTTTGTGACAAATGGCAAAATGTTGCACTCTAAGCGAAGACTGTTGTTTTTGTGACAAATGGCAAAATGTTGCACTCTAAGCGAAGACTGTTGTTTTTGTGACAAATGGCAAAATGTTGCACTCTAAGCGAAGACTGTTGTTTTTGTGACAAATGGCAAAATGTTGCACTCTAAGCGAAGACTGTTGTTTTTGTGACAAATGGCAAAATGTTGCACTCTAAGCGAAGACTGTTGTTTTTGTGACAAATGGCAAAATGTTGCACTCTAAGCGAAGACTGTTGTTTTTGTGACAAATGGCAAAATGTTGCACTCTAAGCGAAGACTGTTGTTTTTGTGACAAATGGCAAAATGTTGCACTCTAAGCGAAGACTGTTGTTTTTGTGACAAATGGCAAAATGTTGCACTCTAAGCGAAGACTGTTGTTTTTGTGACAAATGGCAAAATGTTGCACTCTAAGCGAAGACTTTTGTTTTTGTGACAAATGGCAAAATGTTGCACTCTAAGCGAAGACTGTTGTTTTTGTGACAAATGGCAAAATGTTGAACTCTAAGCGAAGACTGTTGTTTTTGTGACAAATGGCAAAATGTTGAACTCTAAGCGAAGACTTTTGTTTTTGTGACAAATGGCAAAATGTTGCACTCTAAGCGAAGACTGTTGTTTTTGTGACAAATGGCAAAATGTTGAACTCTAAGCGAAGACTGTTGTTTTTGTGACAAATGGCAAAATGTTGAACTCTAAGCGAAGACTGTTGTTTTTGTGACAAATGGCAAAATGTTGCACTCTAAGCGAAGACTGTTGTTTTTGTGACAAATGGCAAAATGTTGAACTCTAAGCGAAGACTGTTGTTTTTGTGACAAATGGCAAAATGTTGAACTCTAAGCGAAGACTGTTGTTTTTGTGACAAATGGCAAAATGTTGAACTCTAAGTGAAGACTGTTGTTTTTGTGCAGGTGAGTACACATGGCAGCGACTCAGAGGGCAGCATCGTGCGCTATCTGGTGGATAAGGGAGCTAACATTAATGCCACTGATGTCTACGGGCAGACACCGCTACACTTTGCTGCCATGAGAGGCAACGACGTGGCGTGTAGCCACTTCCTCTTCTACAGGACTAAAATTAACATCGAGGTGTGGCACAGGTTTTTATGTCTTTCAATGTTTGATGGAGATACATGTGCATGTTGATGTCTATCCAGCACTACATGCCTGTTTGACCGTGCCTTCCATTTCTAGGCCTGTGATAACCAGGGGATGACGCCCCTGCACACTGCAGCACTCCACAAACACCTGGACATTGCTCGCATGTTGATTGATGCTGGTGCTCATTTGATGTGTCGAGACAAAGAACAGTCAACACCACTCCACCATGCAGCGGCGGAGGGCAACATCGACCTCGTCAGGTTGTTGTTGGAGGCTGGAGCTAAGTCACCAGAAGGGTGGATCACTGTCACAGAGGTGGGTGGAAGGGTGGATCACTGTCACAGAGGTGGGTGGAAGGGTGGATCACTGTCACAGAGGTGGGTGGAAGGGTGGATCACTGTCACAGAGGTGGGTGGAAGGGTGGATCACTGTCACAGGTGGGTGGAAGGGTGGATCACTGTCACAGAGGTGGGTGGAAGGGTGGATCACTGTCACAGAGGTGGGTGGAAGGGTGGATCACTGTCACAGATGTAGGTGGAAGGGTGGATCACTGTCACAGATGTAGGTGGAAGGGTGGATCACTGTCACAGAGGTGGGTGGAAGGGTGGATCACTGTCACAGGTGGAAGGGTGGATCACTGTCACAGGTGGGTGGAAGGGTGGGTCACTGTGACAGGTGGGTGGATCACTGTCACACAGGTGGGTGGAAGGGTTGATCACTGTCACAGGTGGGTGGAAGGGTGGGTCACTGTGACAGGTGGGTGGATCACTGTCACAGATGTAGGTGGAAGGGTGGATCACTGTCATAGAGGTGGGTGGAAGGGTGGATCACTGTGACAGAAATGTATGGAGGGTGTCAGTGGTGAGCTGATGTTATTGTCTTGACAGATGGTGAACGCTACAGACATTGAAATGAACACACCTCTACATGTAGCAGTTGAACATTGTCATTATGATGTTGTTAAATTACTTTTAGAAAAGCGTGAGTACTCAGCTTTTGTAATTTGATTGTCATTAAGTTAGTGTTGAAAATTAATACTGTCCACCATCAATTATACAAAGTTTTGAAATAAATGAAAATAAAAATATGAACAAATATTTATTTTAGCCATAAAAATGTGATTCAAGAACCACATTTTTATATTTGCATGTAAAAAGAAAAGAAAAGCATTACATATGTACAGGTTTTCTCAATGTTTTGGTTGCAGGTGCTGACGTAAACAAACAGCGTAAACATTTTATGTATCCCTTGCATCTGGCCGCTCAGTCAGGCAATGTGGGGGTTGTTGAGTTGCTCATACAATACAACGCACGTATTGATGTGCTCAATGATGACCAGGCCACGGCTCTACACAGAGCAGCTGCACTCAATCATGTTGGTGTGGTGACCTTATTGGTGGAGAAGTAGGTTTTAATGATGTTGGTGTGGTGACCTTATTGGTGGAGAAGTAGGTTTAAATGATGTTGGTGTAGGTCTAAATGATGTTGGTTTAGGTCTAAATGATGTTGGTGTATGTCTAAATGATGTTGGTGTATGTCTAAATGATGTTGGTTTAGGTCTAAATGATGTTGGTGTATGTCTAAATGATGTTGGTGTATGTCTAAATGATGTTGGTTTAGGTCTAAATGATGTTGGTTTAGGTCTAAATGATGTTGGTTTAGGTCTAAATGATGTTGGTTTAGGTCTAAATGATGTTGGTGTATGTCTAAATGATGTTGGTGTAGGTCTAAATGATGTTGGTGTATGTCTAAATGATGTTGGTTTAGGTCTAAATGATGTTGGTTTAGGTCTAAATGATGTTGGTTTAGGTCTAAATGATGTTGGTTTAGGTCTAAATGATGTTGGTGTATGTCTAAATGATGTTGGTTTAGGTCTAAATGATGTTGGTTTAGGTCTAAATGATGTTGGTTTAGGTCTAAATGATGTTGGTTTAGGTCTAAATGATGTTGGTGTATGTCTAAATGATGTTGGTGTATGTCTAAATGATGTTGGTTTAGGTCTAAATGATGTTGGTGTATGTCTAAATGATGTTGGTTTAGGTCTAAATGATGTTGGTGTAGGTCTAAATGATGTTGGTGTAGGTCTAAATGATGTTGGTGTATGTCTAAATGATGTTGGTTTAGGTCTAAATAATGTTGGTTTAGGTCTAAATGATGTTGGTTTAGGTCTAAATGATGTTGGTGTATGTCTAAATGATGTTGGTTTAGGTCTAAATGATGTTGGTTTAGGTCTAAATGATGTTGGTGTAGGTCTAAATGATGTTGGTGTAGGTCTAAATGATGTTGGTGTAGGTTTAAATGATGTTGGTGTAGGTCTAAATGATGTTGGTGTAGGTCTAAATGATGTTGGTGTATGTCTAAATGATGTTGGTGTAGGTCTAAATGATGTTGGTGTAGTTCTAAATGATGTTGGTGTAGGTCTAAATGATGTTGGTGTATGTCTAAATGATGTTGGTGTAGGTCTAAATGATGTTGGTGTAGGTCTAAATGATGTTGGTGTAGGTCTAAATAATGTTGGTGTATGTCTAAATGATGTTGGTGTAGGTCTAAATGATGTTGGTGTAGGTCTAAATGATGTTGGTGTATGTCTAAATGATGTTGGTGTAGGTCTAAATGATGTTGGTGTATGTCTAAATGATGTTGGTGTAGGTCTAAATGATGTTGGTGTAGGTCTAAATGATGTTGGTGTAGGTCTAAATGATGTTGGTGTAGGTCTAAATGATGTTGGTGTAGGTCTAAATGATGTTGGTGTAGGTCTAAATGATGTTGGTGTAGGTCTAAATGATGTTGGTGTATGTCTAAATGATGTTGGTTTAGGTCTAAATGATGTTGGTGTATGTCTAAATGATGTTGGTTTAGGTCTAAATGATGTTGGTGTAGGTCTAAATGATGTTGGTGTAGGTCTAAATGATGTTGGTGTATGTCTAAATGATGTTGGTTTAGGTCTAAATAATGTTGGTTTAGGTCTAAATGATGTTGGTTTAGGTCTAAATGATGTTGGTGTATGTCTAAATGATGTTGGTTTAGGTCTAAATGATGTTGGTTTAGGTCTAAATGATGTTGGTTTAGGTCTAAATGATGTTGGTGTAGGTCTAAATGATGTTGGTGTAGGTCTAAATGATGTTGGTGTAGGTTTAAATGATGTTGGTGTAGGTCTAAATGATGTTGGTGTAGGTCTAAATGATGTTGGTGTATGTCTAAATGATGTTGGTGTAGGTCTAAATGATGTTGGTGTAGGTCTAAATGATGTTGGTGTAGGTCTAAATGATGTTGGTGTATGTCTAAATGATGTTGGTGTAGGTCTAAATGATGTTGGTGTAGGTCTAAATGATGTTGGTGTAGGTCTAAATAATGTTGGTGTATGTCTAAATGATGTTGGTGTAGGTCTAAATGATGTTGGTTTAGGTCTAAATGATGTTGGTGTATGTCTAAATGATGTTGGTGTAGGTCTTAATGATGTTGGTGTATGTCTAAATGATGTTGGTGTAGGTCTAAATGATGTTGGTGTAGGTCTAAATGATGTTGGTGTAGGTCTAAATGATGTTGGTGTAGGTCTAAATGATGTTGGTGTAGGTCTAAATGATGTTGGTGTAGGTCTAAATGATGTTGGTGTAGGTCTAAATGATGTTGGTGTATGTCTAAATGATGTTGGTTTAGGTCTAAATGATGTTGGTTTAGGTCTAAATGATGTTGGTGTAGGTCTAAATGATGTTGGTAATCAGTTGTGTGTTTGCTAGGGGTGCTCGTATAAATCGTCGTGACAAGAACAACTACACCCCGTTGCTGCTGGCTGCCTGCTATGGTAATGTGGAGACTGTCTCACACCTGCTGGACAAAGGAGCTGACTACACGGCTGTTGACAAGTATGATAAAACTGCCATCTTTTTGGCTGCTCAGGAGAATCACCTCAATGTTTTGGCGGTAAGGGCTGGGTATGGCTTGGCATGGGTGGGGGATTGGCATGGGTGGGGGATTGGCATGGGTGGGGGATTGGCATGGGTGGGGGATTGGCATGGGTGGGGGATTGGCATGGGTGGGGGCTTGGCATGGGTGGGGGCTTGGCATGGGTGGGGGATTGGCATGGGTGGGGGCTTGGCATGGGTGGGGGCTTGGCATGGGTGGGGGATTGGCATGGGTGGGGGATTGGCATGGGTGGGGGGCTAGGGTTTTCAGTTGCTTTTTGTAGAGTCACTGACAGTGTGAATGGTTTTTGTGGAGTCACTGACAGTGTGAATGGTTTTTGTGGAGTCACTGACAGTGTGAATGGTTTTTGTGGAGTCACTGACAGTGTGAATGGTTTTTGTGGAGTCACTGACAGTGTGAATGGTTTTTGTAGAGTCACTGACAGTGTGAATGGTTTTTGTGGAGTCACTGACAGTGTGAATGGTTTTTGTGGAGTCACTGACAGTGTGAATGGTTTTTGTGGAGTCACTGACAGTGTGAATGGTTTTTGTGGAGTCACTGACAGTGTGAATGGTTTTTGTGGAGTCACTGACAGTGTGAATGGTTTTTGTGGAGTCACTGACAGTGTGAATGGTTTTTGTGGAGTCACTGACAGTGTGAATGGTTTTTGTGGAGTCACTGACAGTGTGAATGGTTTTTGTGGAGTCACTGACAGTGTGAATGGTTTTTGTGGAGTCACTGACAGTGTGAATGGTTTTTGTGGAGTCACTGACAGTGTGAATGGTTTTTGTGGAGTCACTGACAGTGTGAATGGTTTTTGTGGAGTCACTGACAGTGTGAATGGTTTTTGTGGAGTCACTGACAGTGTGAATGGTTTTTGTGGAGTCACTGACAGTGTGAATGGTTTTTGTGGAGTCACTGACAGTGTGAATGGTTTTTGTGGAGTCACTGACAGTGTGAATGGTTTTTGTGGAGTCACTGACAGTGTGAATGGTTTTTGTGGAGTCACTGACAGTGTGAATGGTTTTTGTGGAGTCACTGACAGTGTGAATGGTTTTTGTGGAGTCACTGACAGTGTGAATGGTTTTTGTGGAGTCACTGACAGTGTGAATGGTTTTTGTGGAGTCACTGACAGTGTGAATGGTTTTTGTGGAGTCACTGACAGTGTGAATGGTTTTTGTGGAGTCACTGACAGTGTGAATGGTTTTTGTGGAGTCACTGACAGTGTGAATGGTTTTTGTGGAGTCACTGACAGTGTGAATGGTTTTTGTGGAGTCACTGACAGTGTGAATGGTTTTTGTGGAGTCACTGACAGTGTGAATGGTTTTTGTGGAGTCACTGACAGTGTGAATGGTTTTTGTGGAGTCACTGACAGTGTGAATGGTTTTTGTGGAGTCACTGACAGTGTGAATGGTTTTTGTGGAGTCACTGACAGTGTGAATGGTTTTTGTGGAGTCACTGACAGTGTGAATGGTTTTTGTGGAGTCACTGACAGTGTGAATGGTTTTTGTGGAGTCACTGACAGTGTGAATGGTTTTTGTGGAGTCACTGACAGTGTGAATGGTTTTTGTGGAGTCACTGACAGTGTGAATGGTTTTTGTGGAGTCACTGACAGTGTGAATGGTTTTTGTGGAGTCACTGACAGTGTGAATGGTTTTTGTGGAGTCACTGACAGTGTGAATGGTTTTTGTGGAGTCACTGACAGTGTGAATGGTTTTTGTGGAGTCACTGACAGTGTGAATGGTTTTTGTGGAGTCACTGACAGTGTGAATGGTTTTTGTGGAGTCACTGACAGTGTGAATGGTTTTTGTGGAGTCACTGACAGTGTGAATGGTTTTTGTGGAGTCACTGACAGTGTGAATGGTTTTTGTGGAGTCACTGACAGTGTGAATGGTTTTTGTGGAGTCACTGACAGTGTGAATGGTTTTTGTGGAGTCACTGACAGTGTGAATGGTTTTTGTGGAGTCACTGACAGTGTGAATGGTTTTTGTGGAGTCACTGACAGTGTGAATGGTTTTTGTGGAGTCACTGACAGTGTGAATGGTTTTTGTGGAGTCACTGACAGTGTGAATGGTTTTTGTGGAGTCACTGACAGTGTGAATGGTTTTTGTGGAGTCACTGACAGTGTGAATGGTTTTTGTGGAGTCACTGACAGTGTGAATGGTTTTTGTGGAGTCACTGACAGTGTGAATGGTTTTTGTGGAGTCACTGACAGTGTGAATGGTTTTTGTGGAGTCACTGACAGTGTGAATGGTTTTTGTGGAGTCACTGACAGTGTGAATGGTTTTTGTGGAGTCACTGACAGTGTGAATGGTTTTTGTGGAGTCACTGACAGTGTGAATGGTTTTTGCAGCAACTTTTGTCAGATGGTAGGGTCAAGAGGTTGATCAATGACAGTGACTGTTATGATAACGACCCGCTCCATGTGGCAGCACAAAAAGGCTATTTGGAGGTCGTACAGGTTGGTTCTAATCACTTAAACACCAGTACAGGTGTTAACTTTTAAACTCATGTTAACTTTTAAACTCATGTTAACTTTTAAACTCATGTTAACTTTTAAACTCATGTTAACTTTTAAACTCATGTTAACTTTTAAACTCATGTTAACTTTTAAACTCATGTTAACTTTTAAACTCATGTTAACTTTTAAACTCATGTTAACTTTTAAACTCATGTTAACTTTTAAACTCATGTTAACTTTTAAACTCATGTTAACTTTTAAACTCATGTTAACTTTTAAACTCATGTTAACTTTTAAACTCATGTTAACTTTTAAACTCATGTTAACTTTTAAACTCATGTTAACTTTTAAACTCATGTTAACTTTTAAACTCATGTTAACTTTTAAACTCATGTTAACTTTTAAACTCATGTTAACTTTTAAACTCATGTTAACTTTTAAACTCATGTTAACTTTTAAACTCATGTTAACTTTTAAACTCATGTTAACTTTTAAACTCATGTTAACTTTTAAACTCATGTTAACTTTTAAACTCATGTTAACTTTTAAACTCATGTTAACTTTTAAACTCATGTTAACTTTTAAACTCATGTTAACTTTTAAACTCATGTTAACTTTTAAACTCATGTTAACTTTTTAACTCATGTTAGTGTCTGTTGAAGCATGGTGCAGACCTGGACAGCAAGAATGAGGAGGAGCTGACACCCCTACATCTGGCTGCCAAGTATGGGAGGACCAAGTAAGTGTGGGAGGACCAAGTCAGTTGACACCTTTAGTGTGGGAGGACCATTGACACCTTTAGTGTGGGAGGACCATTGACACCTTTAGTGTGGGAGGACCATTGACACCTTTAGTGTGGGAGGACCATTGACACCTTTAGTGTGGGAGGACCAAGTAAGTTGACACCTTTAGTGTGGGAGGACCAAGTAAGTTGACACCTTTAGTGTGGGAGGACCATTGACACCTTTAGTGTGGGAGGACCATTGACACCTTTAGTGTGGGAGGACCATTGACACCTTTAGTGTGGGAGGACCATTGACACCTTTAGTGTGGGAGGACCATTGACACCTTAAGTGTGGGAGGACCAAGTCAGTTGACACCTTTAGTGTGGGAGGACCATTGACACCTTTAGTGTGGGAGGACCAAGTAAGTTGACACCTTTAGTGTGGGAGGACCAAGTCAGTTGACACCTTTAGTGTGGGAGGACCAAGTCAGTTGACACCTTTAGTGTGGGAGGACCAAGTAAGTTGACACCTTTAGTGTGGGAGGACCAAGTCAGTTGACACCTTTAGTGTGGGAGGACCAAGTCAGTTGACACCTTTAGTGTGGGAGGACCAAGTCAGTTGACACCTTTAGTGTGGGAGGACCAAGTCAGTTGACACCTTTAGTGTGGGAGGACCATTGACACCTTTAGTGTGGGAGGACCAAGTAAGTTGACACCTTTAGTGTGGGAGGACCAAGTCAGTTGACACCTTTAGTGTGGGAGGACCATTGACACCTTTAGTGTGGGAGGACCAAGTAAGTTGACACCTTTAGTGTGGGAGGACCAAGTCAGTTGACACCTTTAGTGTGGGAGGACCAAGTCAGTTGACACCTTTAGTGTGGGAGGACCAAGTCAGTTGACACCTTTAGTGTGGGAGGACCATTGACACCTTTAGTGTGGGAGGACCAAGTAAGTTGACACCTTTAGTGTGGGAGGACCATTGACACCTTTAGTGTGGGAGGACCAAGTAAGTTGACACCTTTAGTGTGGGATGACCATTGACACCTTTAGTGTGGGAGGACCATTGACACCTTTAGTGTGGGAGGACCATTGACACCTTTAGTGTGGGAGGACCATTGACACCTTTAGTGTGGGAGGACCAAGTCAGTTGACACCTTTAGTGTGGGAGGACCAAGTAAGTTGACACCTTTAGTGTGGGAGGACCAAGTCAGTTGACACCTTTAGTGTGGGAGGACCATTGACACCTTTAGTGTGGGAGGACCAAGTAAGTTGACACCTTTAGTATGGGAGGACCAAGTAAGTTGACACCTTTAGTGTGGGAGGACCATTGACACCTTTAGTGTGGGAGGACCAAGTAAGTTTGCACCTTTAGTGTGGGAGGACCATTGACACCTTTAGTGTGGGAGGACCAAGTCAGTTGACACCTTTAGTGTGGGAGGACCATTGACACTTTTAGTGTGGGAGGACCATTGACACCTTTAGTGTGGGAGGACCAAGTCAGTTGACACCTTTAGTGTGGGAGGACCATTGACACCTTTAGTGTGGGAGGACCAAGTCAGTTGACACCTTTAGTGTGGGAGAACCATTGACACCTTTAGTGTGGGAGGACCAAGTCAGTTGACACCTTTAGTGTGGGAGAACCATTGACACCTTTAGTGTGGGAGGACCAAGTCAGTTGACACCTTTAGTGTGGGAGGACCAAGTCAGTTGACACCTTTAGTGTGGGAGGACCATTGACACCTTTAGTGTGGGAGGACCAAGTCAGTTGACACCTTTAGTGTGGGAGGACCAAGTAAGTTGACACCTTTAGTGTGGGAGGACCATTGACACCTTTAGTGTGGGAGGACCAAGTCAGTTGACACCTTTAGTGTGGGAGGACCAAGTCAGTTGACACCTTTAGTGTGGGAGGACCATTGACACCTTTAGTGTGGGAGGACCAAGTCAGTTGACACCTTTAGTGTGGGAGGACCAAGTCAGTTGACACCTTTAGTGTGGGAGGACCATTGACACCTTTAGTGTGGGAGGACCAAGTCAGTTGACACCTTTAGTGTGGGAGGACCAAGTCAGTTGACACCTTTAGTGTGGGAGGACCATTGACACCTTTAGTGTGGGAGGACCAAGTCAGTTGACACCTTTAGTGTGGGAGGACCAAGTCAGTTGACACCTTTAGTGTGGGAGGACCATTGACACCTTTAGTGTGGGAGGACCATTGACACCTTTAGTGTGGGAGGACCAAGTCAGTTGACACCTTTAGTGTGGGAGGACCAAGTCAGTTGACACCTTTAGTGTGGGAGGACCAAGTCAGTTGACACCTTTAGTGTGGGAGGACCAAGTAAGTTGACACCTTTAGTGTGGGAGGACCATTGACACCTTTAGTGTGGGAGGACCAAGTCAGTTGACACCTTTAGTGTGGGAGGACCATTGACACCTTTAGTGTGGGAGGACCAAGTCAGTTGACACCTTTAGTGTGGGAGGACCATTGACACCTTTAGTGTGGGAGGACCAAGTCAGTTGGCACCTTTAGTGTGTGAGGACCAAGTCAGTTGACACCTTTAGTGTGGGAGAACCATTGACACCTTTAGTGTGGGAGGACCAAGTCAGTTGACACCTTTAGTGTGGGAGAACCATTGACACCTTTAGTGTGGGAGGACCAAGTCAGTTGACACCTTTAGTGTGGGAGGACCATTGACACCTTTAGTGTGGGAGGACCAAGTCAGTTGACACCTTTAGTGTGGGAGGACCAAGTCAGTTGACACCTTTAGTGTGGGAGGACCAAGTCAGTTGACACCTTTAGTGTGGGAGGACCAAGTCAGTTGACACCTTTAGTGTGGGAGGACCAAGTAAGTTGACACCTTTAGTGTGGGAGGACCATTGACACCTTTAGTGTGGGAGGACCAAGTCAGTTGACACCTTTAGTGTGGGAGGACCATTGACACCTTTAGTGTGGGAGGACCAAGTCAGTTGACACCTTTAGTGTGGGAGGACCATTGACACCTTTAGTGTGGGAGGACCAAGTCAGTTGACACCTTTAGTGTGGGAGGACCAAGTCAGTTGACACCTTTAGTGTGGGAGGACCATTGACACCTTTAGTGTGGGAGGACCATTGACACCTTTAGTGTGGGAGGACCAAGTCAGTTGACACCTTTAGTGTGGGAGGACCAAGTCAGTTGACACCTTTAGTGTGGGAGGACCAAGTCAGTTGACACCTTTAGTGTGGGAGGACCAAGTCAGTTGACACCTTTAGTGTGGGAGGACCAAGTCAGTTGACACCTTTAGTGTGGGAGGACCAAGTCAGTTGACACCTTTAGTGTGGGAGGACCAAGTCAGTTGACACCTTTAGTGTGGGAGGACCAAGTCAGTTGACACCTTTAGTGTGCGAGGACCAAGTCAGTTGACACCTTTAGTGTGGGAGGACCATTGACACCTTTAGTGTGGGAGGACCAAGTCAGTTGACACCTTTAGTGTGGGAGGACCAAGTCAGTTGACACCTTTAGTGTGGGAGGACCATTGACACCTTTAGTGTGGGAGGACCAAGTCAGTTGACACCTTTAGTGTGGGAGGACCATTGACACCTTTAGTGTGGGAGGACCATTGACACCTTTAGTGTGGGAGGACCATTGACACCTTTAGTGTGGGAGGACCAAGTCAGTTGACACCTTTAGTGTGGGAGAACCATTGACACCTTTAGTGTGGGAGGACCATTGACACCTTTAGTGTGGGAGGACCATTGACACCTTTAGTGTGGGAGGACCATTGACACCTTTAGTGTGGGAGGACCAAGTCAGTTGACACCTTTAGTGTGGGAGGACCAAGTCAGTTGACACCTTTAGTGTGGGAGAACCATTGACACCTTTAGTGTGGGAGGACCAAGTCAGTTGACACCTTTAGTGTGGGAGAACCATTGACACCTTTAGTGTGGGAGGACCATTGACACCTTTAGTGTGGGAGGACCATTGACACCTTTAGTGTGGGAGGACCATTGACACCTTTAGTGTGGGAGAACCAAGTCAGTTGGCACCTTTAGTGTGGGAGGACCATTGACACCTTTAGTGTGGGAGGACCAAGTCAGTTGACACCTTTAGTGTGGGAGGACCATTGACACCTTTAGTGTGGGAGGACCAAGTCAGTTGACACCTTTAGTGTGGGAGAACCAAGTCAGTTGGCACCTTTAGTGTGGGAGGACCATTGACACCTTTAGTGTGGGAGGACCAAGTCAGTTGACACCTTTAGTGTGGGAGGACCATTGACACCTTTAGTGTGGGAGGACCAAGTCAGTTGACACCTTTAGTGTGGGAGGACCAAGTAAGTTGACACCTTTAGTGTGCGAGGACCAAGTCAGTTGACACCTTTAGTGTGGGAGGACCATTGACACTTTTAGTGTGGGAGGACCATTGACACTTTTAGTGTGGGAGGACCAAGTCAGTTGACACCTTTAGTGTGGGAGGACCATTGACACTTTTAGTGTGGGAGGACCATTGACACCTTTAGTGTGGGAGGACCATTGACACCTTTAGTGTGGGAGGACCAAGTCAGTTGACACCTTTAGTGTGGGAGGACCATTGACACTTTTAGTGTGGGAGAACCATTGACACATTTAGTGTGGGAGGACCAAGTCAGTTGACACCTTTAGTGTGGGAGGACCATTGACACTTTTAGTGTGGGAGAACCATTGACATCTTTAGTGTGGGAGGACCAAGTCAGTTGGCACCTTTAGTGTGGGAGGACCATTGACACCTTTAGTGTGGGAGGACCAAGTCAGTTGACACCTTTAGTGTGGGAGGACCAAGTCAGTTGACACCTTTAGTGTGGGAGGACCAAGTCAGTTGACACCTTTAGTGTGGGAGGACCATTGACACCTTTAGTGTGGGAGGACCATTGACACCTTTAGTGTGGGAGGACCAAGTCAGTTGACACCTTTAGTGTGGGAGGACCAAGTCAGTTGACACCTTTAGTGTGGGAGGACCAAGTCAGTTGACACCTTTAGTGTGGGAGGACCAAGTCAGTTGACACCTTTA